GTTTTCTTAAGTGATTTATTGTTTATTGTCCATGTATTAGTGTTCCGTTATGATATATCAAAATTCCATGTAGTTTGATATTCTAAGAGGACAACATATAATTAAAGTTGAAATTTCTTAGAAAATAAATAATAGATGAATTCAATGTTTTGGCTTTGTTTTACGTACTCTTTCTGGGAACTTCTTGTATATTTTGGGCTAAGCTATTTTGTATCATTAAACACACGTGAAGATAAGAAGCCGCAGGATTATACTTACGTCGTAAGCAAAATGAGACATTCTAACAAATAAGCAAGTATTTAGTCTCTAATTACAAGTAATATCTTCGATTGGTGCAGGTGTATGAAATCAAAACAAGACTTATTCGAGGGGAAACATTTCCCATTGGAGGGATTTGTCAGCAAAATAAACCCACATTAAGTGATTATTCCATTTTTGTCAGTTTATACTTTTACTTACTTACGTGTGTTACTCCTCGTGAAGGAGCATAGGCCGCTCACCAGCATTCTCCATCCAACCCTGTCCTGGACAATCCTTTCCAACACTTTCTAGTCGTTATTCATCCTTTTCATATCTGCTTCTATTTCCTGACGTAATGTGTTCTTTGGCCTTCCTCTTCTTTGCTTCCATTCAGGATGCCATGTTATGGCTTGCCTCGTGATGCAGTTCGGTGATCTGCGTAATGTATGTCCTATCAATTTCCATCGTCTTTTCCTAATTTCCAATTCAGCTGGAAGCTGATTGGTACTCTCCCATAGTAGGCTGTTGCCGATGGTATCCGGCCAACGGACGTTGGGTATCTTTCGTGGACAACTGCTAGTAAGTACATGTTTCTTTCTGATGACGGTTGTGGTAGTTCTCCAACGTCCAGCTCCGTACAATAGGACTATCTTGACGTTGGTATTGAAGATTCTGACTCTGATATTGGTTCAAAGTTTTATTGAGTTCCATATGTTCTTCAGTTTAAGGAATGCGGGCCCACGCTTTGCCAATTATTGCCATTACTTCTGCATCTGAACCTCCTACTTCATCTATGATGCTTCCCAGGTATGTGAACGGTTCTACATCTTCCCGAGTTTCGCCATCAAGAGTGACTGGATTGCTGTTCTCCATGTTGTATTTGAGGACTTTGGTTTGCCCTTTGTGAATGTAGAGGCCTACTGATGCAGAGACTGCTACTACGCTGACTGTCTTTATCCGCATTTGTTCCTGTGTATGCGATAGGAGGGCTAGGTCATCTGCGAAGTCCAAATCGTCTAATTGGTTCTGAGCTGTCCATTGTATGCCATGTTTTCCCTCAGATGTCGAGATCTTCATAATCCAGTCGACCACCAGGAGAAAGAGGAAGGGAGAGAGTAGACAGCCTTGTCTTACTCCGGTTCTTACTTGGAATGCATCTGTCAGCTGTCCTCTGTACACTACTTTGCACTGTAGTCCGTCGTATGAGTTCCAGATAATATTGACAATCTTCTCAGGAACTCCGTAATGCCCAAGAAGTTTCCATAACGTTCTTCTATCTACACGGTCAATGCGTTTTCATAATCAATGAAGTTGATGTACAGTGACGAGTTCCACTCAATTGATTGTTCGACGATGATCCGTAATGTCACAATTTGGTCTGTGCTCGACCGGTCCTTACGGAATCCAGCTTGTTGATCTCGAAATTGAGCGTCTACTGTGTCTTTCATCCTGTTCAGTAACACTCTTTCAAAGACTTTTCCTGGTACTGACAGTAGTGTGATGCCTCTGTAGTTTTCCCACTTGCTCAGATCTCCTTTCTTTGGAATCTTGATGAGGTGTCCTTCTTTCCAATCCATCGGCACTTGTTCCTCCCCCCAAATCTTCTTGAATAGAAGATGAAGCATGCTTGTAGTTACTTTGATGTCTGATTTCAGTGCTTCAGCTGGTATGTTGTCGAGTCCTGTTGCTTTCCCGCTCTTGATTTGTCTGATGGCCATTCTGATTTCTTCGGTCGTTGGTGGATTGCCATCTATAGGAAGATCTGTGTGTGCTGCTTCGATGTCCGGTGGATTCATTGGCGCCGGCCTATTCATGAGCTCCTCGAAGTACTCTGCCCATCTGTTGCGCCGTTGTTGAATCTCAGTGATCGGTCTTCCTTCTTTGTCTTTGACTGGTCTCTCTGCTTTACTATATTCCCCTGCTAGTTTCTTCGTTGTGTCCTAAAGCTGTTTCATATTTCCTTCTCTTTCAGCTTTCTTCCACGTATTTCTGCTTGTCGGCTCTAATGCTCTTCTTCACTTGCTTGTTTGCTTCTATGTATTCTGCTTGTGCTTGAACTTTCTCTGCTCGTGTTCGACTGTTGTTAACTGCTGTCTTCTTGTCCTTCCTTTCTTTGATCCTATCCAGTGTTTTTATAGGGATCCATTCCTTGTGATGATGCTTCTTGGGGCCCAGAACCTCTTGACATGTTGAAGTTAATGCTTATTTGATACCTTTCCAGTTATCTTCCATAGTAGTTTCTTCTTCCTTCAGTAGATCCTGTAGGGCTTGGAACCTGTTGTTGAGAACTATCTTGAATTCATTGAGTTTGTCAGCATCTCGAAGGAAGGCTGTATTGAACCTTTGTAGTGCTGTTTGTCCAGTTGTCCAGTTCTTCTTCAGCTTCAGTTTTAAATTGGCCACAACCAGGTGGTGATCTGAAGCTATATCCGCTCCTCTCCTGGTTCTCACATCTTCCATTGTCCTTCGGAACCTTTTATTGATGCAAATATGATCTATCTGATTCTCTGTGGTGTGGTTCGGTGAGATCCATATAGCTTTGTGTTTACGTTCGTGTGGAAATATTGTGCCACCTATGACCAATTTGTTGAATGCACACAGATTTACAAATCTTTTCGTTCCTCTCTCTCAGTCCATGTAGTCCCATGATATCTTCATATCCGGTGTTGTCTATTCCGACTTTCGCGTTTAGATCTCCTATCAGAATGGTGAGGTCCTTTCTTGGGCACTTCTCTATGATTGATTGCAGCCTCCCATAGAATTGATCTTTAACGTCGTCATTGCTATCATTGGTGGGTGCATAACATTGGATAATGTTCATTGTGATACCCTCCTTCTTTGTTTTGAATGATGCTTTGATGATTCTGGATCCGTGAGATTCCCATCCTACAAGTGCATTTCGTGCTACTTTGGATAGCATTAGAGCAACTCCCTGAGTGTGTGGAGCATTTTCCTCTTCGTGACCGGAGTATAGCTGCATCTCTCCCGTATTTAGCCTTTGTTGTCCAGCTTTGGTCCAATGGGTTTCACTGATTCCGAGTACTGCCAAGTTGTATCTCCTCATTTCCGTTGCTATTTGACTGGTCTTCCCGTTCTCCCACATTGTCCGGACGTTCCATGTACCTATAAAAATTGTTGCTCTGGTTGTTCAAAGGGGCATCAGCCCCATGGCGTCATATTTCTTCTAAATGAAAACCTTCTAACTCCCAGGGTAGAGTTTAAATGGTTTGAGTTTTTTTGGTTAGCGTTTTTTAGCGAGTTAGTTTTTTACGGGATGGGGTCACTAACTCCATTCCCAACCTTCCTCCTTTACCCGGGCTTGGGTCCGGCAGTAACTCTAGAAGAGGTACAGGCGGAGTTTGTCAGTTTATAGATCATATCTAATAAGAAATCTAATCACATTATTTGATTCCCTTAAGTTATAAAAACTATGAATGACTAACTTAATTTCCAATTTTCAAGCATATTATGCCATCCAGTTTGTAATATTCATCAGCTGATATTATGTCTCAATGAAAATCTTTCGTCACGCTCAATACCTTAACTTATCTGTTAGAGTTGATATTAGAAACGAACTGCCACCCAGATACCTGTAGTGATTAGTAAACGCTTATTTAGTATTGAATATGAAGTTGGCTACAGAGTAAAAATTTAAATGGACGCTGATTTTTCCTGAACGTATCAAAGTATGTGGTCATTGATAAGTACGATTCAAAGTTAGTCATTAAGAATAATTAGAAGTAATTTTTGTGGCTTTTCTGCTTCATTAGCAAGCTAGTAGGGGGGAATCTTTATTTTAAACAAAGTCTTATCTATATGATTTAAGTATGCTTTACAGGTTACGAGTTATTATATTTGAAGTAATGAAGTGTGCACGTTTATTTCATGGAGCAGATTGAATAATATTTTTAAGAATTATATTTTTTTACTACAAAAATGTAATCTGTCAACCATTTTGAATACCTTGTATCTAATTTCCTTTCACTGTTACAATTCAAACGTTTAGATTATTCAGTTAGATTGAAACTTCAGAATCTTAAAAACATTTATTAACTGATCAATAGTAGATTTAGTGAACGATTATGAGCATTTATTCTGATGACCTTAAATAAACAATTTAAAGTTAGTCTGGATAGTGGTACTTTTTCAATAGTCATAAATTGAGATGAGCCTTAAATATTGTGATAATTTTTAGACTTCACGATATCGAAAAATCTTTTAAACCGCTTTACGTGGTAGAAAGTTCCGGTTTCAAATTGTGGTAATAAACACGTTTACACATTTATTAGATGTGATTTTGCACAAAAACGAACTTAATAAGAAAAGGTAGGGAGGTGATTGTATCAGATGTTACAGTAAAATGAGGAATTAGAAATATGATTATTTGACAGGAGAATACTATCTATTAATAAAACCTCGGTATTTAATAAGGGTTAACGTATCTCTATCAAAGAACAGTTGACTTTAGTCTGAGTGCCTTATAATTACACATTTTATCAGAAGCCGTTCAACGTTTACTCATCGTAAAACAACGACAACGAATTTAGTCAGAAGTTTCCCGTATCATCTACATGCAAGGAGTCAGTAGTATCATTGATTAATTATATTTGTGTATATCTTATGTATCTTACAGAACATCCAATTGTTCTCTTGAAAAATACAATAATCGTAGAACATTTGTATGCTAGGATGAAGAAATAAGATAAAATTTTATATATATATATATATATATATATATATATATATATTTAATAGTCAAGTATTTGGAAAAATGGAAACTCCTGAAGTCATCGTCCAATATCTCACGTCATCTCCATGGTATATACTGACGATTGTAGATAAAATCGCATTCTGTATAACTAATTTATTTCTTGTAATCTGGTGAATGAAGAAAAAGAATGTATGATATACTGTTGGAGCCATGAAGTATCGCTAATAATTTCTGAAATAATAAATAAAGTATTTGTAGGTTAAATTTAACTTAAGAATTAAAATATTGCTGATTTAAGGTATTAATTTTAGTATTTACTTGTTTACTAAAATCAAATGTACTTGCAAGATATATATATGCGTGAAAGATAGGATTAAGCCTACTAAATAATAGTTATTGATAATTTTTATGAATAATCAGATCTTTTTTATGGTTTATTTTTGGAACATTTTATCTTATGAATTCTATGCCAACTATTGAGAGAATAAGTTCACATGTTATTGAGTATGACAAAAGTTCATTTAAATGAAATAATTCACTTTATATATGTATATAATATTGTATATATAAAAATGAAAAGTTATATTCTCATGGAACCCTTTTTATTCTGGAACCCTATAATCATATCAGTATAGTTCATTATGAAGAAATTTTTCACAGTTGATTTCTTGAGATAAAGTAGTTGAAACTATTCCTTTATTTCGGGCAGTAAATAAACTTTTCTAAATATGTGAAATTCGACTTAAATTTTCTAAACATTTTCTGCATTAAAATTATTCATATTTTAAAGTGTATTGAATACATGCATTATAAGAAATGAATAATTATTTCAATCTCTTTAAAATGAGATAGAAATGTACTATTTTGTATGTTAATCCTTATGTCGACATGTGAGAAAGTAACTAATTTATTAGATTCATTTAAATGAATTGGATCCAATGCATCAAGTTTTCTATACTGAAATTAACACATTAAATAAAGTATCTAGCAAATTTAATATGATTTAACTTCATATTTTTAGGAAACTTTCCGGAAAATAATATTTTCTGTTCTTATTTATTATATACATGTTTGTTAGAAACAGCTACAATTGAACGCTATAAAAAGGTACAAGTATAACGAAATTTGTAATTGATCATGTGATTTATTTCTCATATGAAATTTCCAGGAATATGCAGCTAAGTAAATCAAACCATTGAGAAAACAAAATACCAAGAAAAATGAGACCATTTAAACATTTAAACTATTTGATTTAAGAAGAAACGATTACTAACCAAATTATTGAAAGTATTTAAATCGAGAAGACATTACTTAGTGTTTATGGTATACTAGAATGATCCTTTAAACAAATCTAGACTTAACGAATATTATCATAAAAACGTACATATATATATTCCTATTATCAAATATAACATCAAATAAAACAAAGAATACATTTACTGTTGTACAAGAGGAAACTTCCGATTTTAAAAATATAAATCAATGTATTTTAATTTATTCAGACAACTAGAGCAAATAAAAGTACAATTTTAAACCAACTAAAAAGGTACATGACAAACCTCATTCATTAATTATCATATGAACAAACTAGAAAATTTGAGAAGATAAACCATAGTTCTCAAACATTAGACCATACAGATGGCCATTTTTTTATTATAATCTTTATTACAGAGTATCTTGGTAATATATAAGAACCATTTGTTGGATATTTCACTTTCGAATTTCCATCATTTGTCTTTCACATTCTGAATGACTCTTCAAGTTAATAATCCCTTTCTATTTTTCCTTCTATTTTCTTCAACTTGATCTACTTATCCTTCTGCTGCCAGGATTTCTAATTCCGATCGGTGTTACACACCACTCACGTCGACAGATATATGTAGTAAAGTAAACTACCATATTTGTAAATCCCTGATATATTCTTGTTAAAACCTCATTAATGCTTATACATCAGTCTGTAACATGTGTTCTGTGTTTAAACAAGTTATCCTGACTTAAGACAACATTTATTCATCAAAAAAACGCCGAATTTAATCGCGTGTATTATTTGAATCATACACTATCTATTAAGTTAAAAAGCGGCTACGAATACATTTCTTTTCATGATATTGTAAACGTGCCATCATGTTCACAAAAGAGGATAACAAAACTTGAATAAGTAATTTCTTGCATAGTGTTTGGTGAAAGACTTAAATGTTCGGTAGTTAATCTGTTTTACTTTGATAGTTTTCTATTCGGTAAAAAAAGGAGATTTCACGCTAATATTCCATTAGTAATTCTTTACAATGTTCATAAGATTTTCTCATTTATATTCTAAGCCCATCATACTATTGTTTGTAATTGAATAATTATGAATAGAGCAGTTTATCAAATATAAAAAGAATCACAAATTTACATAAAGAAAAAAGAATAACAGAAAAATATCATAGTTATTCCCATTATATGGAATATTATCATTATAATATTATACTGAGAGTCTTTTAAGATAAATAATTTTTTATATGATCATATGACGTGTGTATATAATATTCCGCTCATTTAATAAAAAGTGCATCAAAAAGAAAATACAAACTCAAGAATAACCACGTGAATTTTGAAATAAGTTTTTCTTGAAAAAATAAAACGTATTTTCGATGAGAACTAAAATTTGAAAGAACAGATTTATGGGTAGATAGATAAATAGATATGAACAAACTTTTAGCCATAAATTCTTATAACCTAATAAAATTAATTTAAAAAATGTCATATGCAGAAAATCGAAGACTCTTTTAAAATTTAATTTGTTTACATTAACAATTTATATTTTTTAGTTAGTAACAGATAAATTTGATTAGTTTTTGCCCATAACTGTTACAACAACACTATTGATCAACCAGTACTTAATGGTTGAATTTCAATAATTTTTTTTAGATACATTTTAATTTAATAATCCAACTTCAGCTTTTAAATATACAACATCAATCGATATCAGATTGGGGGGTTTATGGAAATTGTAGTGTTTTAATAAAATAATTCATGAGTCCTTTAAAGCTAGACCACCATGGAAAACCTGGAAGCATTGAACGGCCGTTTCGTCCTAGTATGAGACTCCTTAGCAGCGCGCACCAACGTCCCTACATGTATGATTTGAACCAAGGACCATCGCTCTTGCGCGTGAACTTTTAACCTCTAGACCACTGAACCGGAAACCAACGGTGTTAATGTCTAACTTCAACCAATGCAAGATATTGCGTGACCGTCTATTCTTGTCTGCAATGAGTGACGGCACGGTTGAATTCCACTGGTCACTACTTTTCACGGTGGCGCAATATCGTGGAATGATTGAAGTTAGACATTAGCTCGCTCAGTGTTCTAGAAGTTAAACATTGGCGCACAAGGTTAGTAGGTCCTGGATTCGAATCCAGCGTGCGGGATCGTGGGTGAGCACTGTTGAGGAGTCCCATACTAGGATGAAACGGTCGTCCGGTGCTTCCAGGTTTTCCATAGTGGTTTAGCTTCAATCGACTTATGAATTCAACTATTAAATATTAAAACAAGCATTCTAGTAAATTAATTCTGATAAATATGAAAATAAAAAGGGCCGTTTTTTAGCAAAAGTAATAATGGATGTTATGGTTTGGACTCTGGTATGAAACAAATAAAGTTTATCATATTTTAAAATGTTTATTATTACTTTAGAAATGAGTTGTAGACATACCCGATTTGACATACTGTCCTTTTGATTTTGATTAAATACAATCATTTCTATGTAGAATATAGAGCACTACGAACGTTTTATACAGATTAAATATGAATTTAAATGTCAGACTGATATCTGCCATCATAAAACTTAGATAAGTTTTACATGAATCTTGTCCGTTCTCAAGAATATGGAATTTCGGGTTGCAGGATGGATTTAACATTTTGTCCCTGTGGTTACAATCTTATAGTTTATATTCTTTATGTTCGGTCTCTGTTTGGTATCAAACGTTTTGCGTTAACATAAGTTTTGTACTTTTAATCCATGCCACGAAAGAGATAAGACAACTAGACTTTCCTTTATAAACCATTCTGTTTATGTAAGGATAGATATTTGTTGGTGACCAAGCCTAGTAAATCGGCTTCACTACAAATTTAATTGACAGGGAAAACATAAATTATTAAATACATAGAATAGATTGTCGATTACGCAACCACTACGTGAACGTATGATTCTGGCACCTGAATACTAATAAAATAAGGGTTATAAATCATTGTACAAAATGATAGTTCATTATTATCTAATTATGTGTCTTTAATTTGATTGAGCATTGTGAAGAAAAACCGTCCTCATACCTAATAGTTACTGACAGATCGCGTAACTGACACGTTTGATTTTTGTGTGAAATAAAACAATAAGTAAAGTGAAAAAAGGTAGCTAAATACTGTCATTTCAAATTTCACAAACAATATTTTTGCTGTGGAGAAACATATCTTCTGATAAGATTTCAATAAACTTTGGTAAATTTGTAACCATAAAGAGAAGTTAGGTATGTGTAAACTATTGAGCAAATATACTGGCTCGATTAATTATGATCTGTTAGTACTATACAGGTAATCAATCATAGTCCCAGGTCTAAAACTATGTAATTATTGGCAGATCTTGAATAGATAATGATTTGCATATTTTATTAATTGTTTTGTTAGTGGAAAATTCAAATGACTATTGAACACTTTAATGAACAGAATTGGCATGTTTGCACATTCGTGGAAAAAGTAAGACGGTATAAATGGGTATAACATAAAAAAGTTGGACTACAAGTTATCACAAAGACAGAAAACTAAGAACATTATAAGACGTTTCAGTGAAAAATATGATCGATGTCTATGTAAATTCAATCTATCAGTGTTAAATTAACTACGTATGAAATCAGTAAATTAACTAACTAAATTTTTAGTAATTTGATTCCGATAAGAGTAAGTAAAAATCATTATACTTAAAAGAAATAGTCATCTGACATTTGAGATTAATTGTAGATTATTTACCATCACTTGACCGCATAAAGTGGTTTTACATTTTCCTCAAACTAATTAATTAGAAGACATTTTGATTCATTTATGTTGATAAAATCAAACAAATATACTATACTTCAAATTCATTCGCTGAGAAACTATTCGTTCAAAGTTAGACGAAAGTTCGTATTTATTTCAGAGAAAGTTGTAAGCAAATGTCAATATGAAATTACTTACTTAAAAGAATTAGGTTCCTGGTAAAATATTGTCTGGACAAGTTTTAACTTCATTATCCGAATAGATTTCTAATGATTTATCAAAATTTTTTAATTTCCAATTTATAATTCCATTATTATTAGTATTATGATTAGTTAATTCTGGTGGATTAGGTTTGAATTCAGAATCTTTGATAGTCAACTGTTTTTCATACTGGGTTCCATGTTTTAAAGTGTTATCTTTAGTATTTTGGTAGTTGAAATTTAAAAATGTTTTATAATTATTCGCTGTTATATGTACATCAATATTAGGAGTAGAAGAATTTGGTTGATCTGGTATTTTAGTGTCTAATTTAAAATTTTGTTGATTCTTGAAATACTTAACATCATTGGTACTTTCTGGAAATTTCAAATATTACAATGAAATAGAAATTAAAATTCCATTAGAAATTATCACTGAATATGATTATAACAATAAAACTAATTGATGATTCAAAGAATTCATTGTCAATTCACTTACGTATATTCGTTTGACTTCCAGTGTCATTAAAATGTGATAGGTTTCTATTTAGGTGAGTTTATGAAACACAGCTCTCATTTTTTAAATGAATTCAGGAAAATATGGAATTTTCTAAAACGTTGGTATTCTTAGTAAAACACCCGGAACTATTTCCTTCAAATTATTTACAGTTACGTTTTCTACACTTGAGATGTAGAGATATGTTGGGTTCCGTAAAATGTGTATCTCCTAATTCGTTCTTCAGTGGTTGACGCAGAAACGGAAGCATCTTTAGACTCTTAAATGAACTATATTATAAATAATGGCTATGAAATGTTCTCGAAATAAATGTTCCCTTTCATTTTAGAACATTTCATTAGAACTTATCTGGATTCCACTTTTGATATTTACACTCAGACTTCCGAGATTTATCTACAAGATAATTAAAGTAAAGAGCGTCTTGAAGTCATTATCGAGACTTCCGTTTAGAAAGTCCATTTCCCAGTAGAGACCAATTAATTCACTTTTAAATGTAAACAAAGTGAGAGTACCCATCAAATGATTTTATATGAATTCGTTTGAATCTGCGCTAACAATTACTGCATGAGAAACTTTGTATCTAGTGGTTAAATGTCTAAAATGATGTATTTGGTCAAATTGATAACTTTTATGTACATGACTATCAACCATGGTGTATAATTTTTCTTAAATAATTTAAAATAAATATCGAGAATATTTTGTAGATAGACTTATTGTATATCAGGAAATACTAACATCAGAAAACTTACCACTATTATTTACTTTGGTTTCTCTCATAATTATTTCGTCCGAATAATTCGATTGACTAGATAGTATAGCGCTATCACTGACTGAATAGTAGGTTCGTGTTGTGTCCGATTTCAAACTTTGCGCACTTTGTTCCTGGGCTGAGTAAGTTTTATTCTTATCGCTCAGTTGAACTGGGGACGTATTTCCAGGTGTTCGATCAGGTGAAGTTAGAATTTCATTGTTCTCATACGGTCTGTTTCAAATAACATTCCAAAAATAATCATATAAAACAATTTTTCATTAATTGTGTATCAGATAATACGAAGGTAGTAAAAATGCGTTAAAAACGTAAACCAATTATGAAAACAAATTAGCATTTGCTTAACCATATACGTGAATAATTTTAGTATGACTGAGACCATATTCCTTACATCTTTACGTAGTTAAGCAAAATGTCGAAAAATAATGCATATTGTCAATAATAAATATATTTTTGGAATATCTCAATGAGTAGAAATTTGTTTTTCTGACATTTTGTGACTTTATGTAAGTTATTTCTTCAAAGCAAATAACTATTCTAAGTAAAATTCCCACGAGTCCAAATAATACAAAAGAAACAATGCAGAATATCTTTAGTACAACCAAAATCACAATGGATCTGAACATTTCAGTGTCATGTTATTTTGGTGATGATTCTGTTTGACATATCACTGCATATATTTGTGCGTTAGAAGGTTGGTATGAATAATATATGCATTTGTAATATAGAGTAGTGAGGTTAAAATTGTATGTGCAGATTGTGTGAAAAATGGATAGGGTCAAATGTGGTTGTTTGAATAAACAGTCCAGGTTGGATTAATAGACAGACCTTCTTTCCTTTGAGGGGAGAGGGATTTAGCACTATGAGAAACACTTCAGCCACTCTCATTTGTACAATTGGAAAACCTTTCTGTATTATTTTGATATTTTTTTTTATCACTGCGATGATTATGGAAAATAGCATGCAATGCTATTGTAACTATTCTGTCGTACCCTATCGGTAAGGTAGAACTACAGTACCGATTCAAGATCTTTCAATGGGATTGGATTTCAAGGAATGATAATTTTGTTTTAATATTTTTATTAATATTCCTACGAAAGTTATTAGGTTGTAGGATACTTATAATATTGTCTTTTTCTTTTAGCATGTCTTCTTCTGGAGTAATGATCTTGATTGCTCTTCCGAAAAGACTCATGGCTGTGAAAATTTATGCACTAAACATATGTGCAGAATTAAAATCAATATGGCGATTTGAATTTTTATCAGCTATCTATGATGAATAAGAAATATAACTACAAAGATCTGGAACCTAAAAGCCAGTGACGTAAAATAAAATGACGAACATGTTGATATTCTAAATTATTCACTTATATTGGGATGCAATTTGCTGTAAAGCAAAGATAAACACAATGGTTATCAAGCTTCTTACAAAATATGTCAAGTTTAAGTATACTTCAACCTAAGATATTCTAGTTTTAGGAACTATTCACGCTCGCTTTGTGTGAACTGATCATAGTTAAGGAATTACTTTTTATTTTCACTTTCCGTACTATAGTATCCAACGAAGTCTTCAGTCTTTCGATAAACGTAATCACTGTAAATAGCCTTATGTTTGATTGATCAGAATTACATAAAAGACCTAATTATGGTTTAACGGAAGAGATATTCATACTGTATATCCGAAGTAATAAAAAGCATTCATATGTTAGGAACATATTTATATATTATGGTGTAGATATTTAACATATGAGAGGTTTGTGTAAGAACTGTTTGAACTCATTTAACTTTTCATGTAGGTTTGAAAGAAACATAACTGGGTCAAATTTCACAACATAATCAAATCACACGGGGTAATCTGGACATCATGATTGCGTCTCATTGATTTATGTACACAGATTGTAAAGTGAATTTTCTAAACATACATTTAAGAGTCTCGTCTCTTGTTATCGAAGGGAATTTAGAACGAGGATGAAAAAGATTTCTAATTTATATTTATCCAAGAGATTTATAGAAATAAACAAATTAAAATGCAAACCTTTTATTTGATTTTCCATTATTAAAATTGTTGGTGTTACGGTAGCCATCTAGAAACTTTTCATTCCAAACACTGTCATCATTATTACAATTACTGATTTTCACTTGTTCATTTGAATAATCATAAAAATTATTGTTATTGTTTTGTTGAAATTCTGTTGAATTTTCAACTACTCTTTGAGATGAATAAGTTGCTGGTTTATTAGCTCGCGTCGCTTCTACCATACGATTATCAAGTTCCTTAAAATGATAAGACAGAAATATTTGTCATGAAAAATGTAAACACATTAGAAGTATATTTCTAAATACTTTCATCTTGACTTGTTTTTAAAATCAAATGATTTTTTATAAAACTTTATACCTTTATTCCTTATTTATAAAAGTCACAAAGTACAGGAGCCTATTATTCAGACTACCATAAAAATACATCGAGATAAATAGTTTTATGATAACACTTCAAAATATCGTTTAGTCAGTTATTTACCTTTGTAAGACGTTGATTTTGTTCTGTTAACCTTCGAAGTAAATCTGTCAACTGTTCATTTTGACTTTGTAGATTTCCTTTATCTACATTTACTTTGTACATATTCGTTTCTAAATTTCGTAATCGTTGTTGTAAACTGAAAATTGCATTAGACTGTTTTACAGCGTTTGATATATTTCTTCGAGAAGTGTTTTCTAATAACAGATATAATTTTAAAAAACATCTAAGTTGAGATAATTTTCTGTTGGTATACATAAACAGACATATTTATATTAACATTCGTCAACATTTGAATGGATAATCTGATAAAACCTTAGCGCCAACTATATAGAACATGTCATGTGTAAAAACTATAGGTGAATAAACTAGACGATTAAAATCGAAACAATTCCAACATTTTATCTGACAAACTGTTCCGAGCTTCAAAACTATTCATTATTAGTTGTGATTCCGATTATTTCCCTGTATCACGTTAACTAAACTCGATAAGTAATCATGAGGCAGTGGAACGAACCAATTTTACAATGTGTCTCTTTTTCAATATCACAAAAGTTACGATTTTCAAAATACTAATAAATTATCATTTCAGTAGACATTATTCAAGACATACACAGAATAATTGAATCAATGTTCATGATACATATGTTATGTTCTATCTATATTTTAAATGATTAGTGAACAGTAGAACAAATATTTACAATAATTTACTATAAATGAACACTATTTTACATAGTACTTGTTTTATATTGGATTTATTGGCCAATACATTACTCTATAATTCATTCACAGTAGATAACAATCAGAACATTTCTTTCATACTCCTGTTGCATGAATTTTATCGTGATTTGTTTTTATAAAAATGAAATACTTCCGTCTCATATATTTGATTTCATTATACTTTATCTAATATTTACAGAATGCTAGGTTCTAAAGCTTAGATTACAATAAAATAAGAAATCTCAAAGGGATACACAGTAGATGACTTGCACAAAAGTATTTTTTTGATTACATTATTTAAAATTATTTAGTGTTTCAAAGTTTATGTGTATGTGTTACTTGAAACTTCCTATTGATCTTACGAATTATAATTGATCAGTCTGTTTTGACGTATTTTTATCCTGTGGGGATTGTCTCGATATTGTCGTAAAATTTCAAGTAATTTTAAGCAGAAATAGATGATGGTTTACATTGAGGTTCAGGACGCTCATTTAATTCTACTAGGGACTGATTGGAAGTTAGTCATTTGCAGTTTTAAACAACAATGAAAATATTTCAAACAACCAAGACATATGTATTAAAATTTACCCTATTGAACAAGGCACTGGCGTTCGAAGCCACGGATAAAAGCATGAACTTTAGAATAAGTTACACCCAACTGACGACCTCCCAATAAGACGAAACCTACGTCCTGGATTTCAGTGTTAGCTATCATTCACCATTACCTAAAAATGTTTCAAAAGTTTAAAACCCAACCGTTATTTTCATCATGAAAGATGGATGAATGTTTTTTGTTCATTCATTTTTTGAAATCAATACAACTAAGAGATGAACAGACCAATTAGTTTACCTTGAGAAATTTTAAATTTTTCTTTAATTTTATCGTTGCTAACCGTTTCACAACTTTCTCGTTTTAGTGAAATTCTGTCACATTTTGACTTTGATTCATTTATCTAAAAATTTATTTGGGTAATAAAAACTGGTAAGATTAACGATTAAACATAAGTAGGACGAGTATGGAAAAATAAAAAGTACTTGTTTACGAATATCTTGTACTTATGATTAGGCACAACTTTAGTATAGTTCATCCACATTCATCTACTACAGACACCAAACAAAAACAAATAATAAACATTTATTTGGTCTGTTTGCTTCTTCACAATCATGCAAATATTTTCGTATTATAGCTCACCATTTTTATGATATAACATTTCGAAAAAAATGTTTTGTTGAGTATGATAATTTCACGTTAACATCATATGTATATTTATATAACCTTCGAGATGCATGCACGTTGCTGGTCGCAACTGTGGTCTGTTGAACAAATGATGAATATGTTAGTAGTCATACATTTTCAGTTTCATCATATTTTTTGTCTGATACTAACGAGAAAGTACCAGTTACATCGAAATCTAGATTAAGGTCGTGTGATTTTCAAACTATCCACCAGGATAACTTCTGAATATTCGAAACTGTTTCGAAATTAGCGCCATTAGAAATCTCGAATATTTTGATGAATGAAGCGAAAAACCAGAAGACCTATCTTTTTCTTTCGCTTTGTAATAATTTACAGTCTTATAAAATATAGTTCTACTCCATATTACTGTTAAGTATATGCGTTATTAGTTTACTGTTTATTTATGTATGAATTTAATGAATAAGTGTAATCCATCAACCTATATTGATACTATAAACGCAAAAATATCTTTAAAAATTAATATGTAATGGGACAAATTATTATTTATAACTTGTGGTAAACGTTTTATGAAAACATGGTGAAAGAACAATTATTAACCTGCTTTTTTATTTCACTGATAGCATTTTCACTTGCTTGTTTCTCATAGTCGACTGAAGTTAAACGTTGATCAGACAGTAATAACCCTAATTACAAAGTATTAAAAGAAAGTATAAAGTCGTATTATTTACTGAACAGATGATGCATTTCCGATTAATTAAATTACTTGGTCAAATTTTAATAAATTGGATATATAGTAAAATGTATGGAATTGTTCTACGCCATTCACATAACTACAATTTCTTCACAATCCACTTAATCCTTAGTTCGACCACTTAATCGATCTGATAAAATATTACTCAGTTGCCTATTAGTATGACTTATGTCAATATTAATTTTTTCTTACATAGTTTGAAGTATTGAAGATAACAGTAACGGGGACATATATTTGATAAAGGTATTTGCCAAATGTACCTTTTGTATTTTTGCACAAACTAAATTTAAGGTTATTTGATATATATATATATAATTTCTGGCATCAAATTCTATGTGGATTTGTGGTTATTAACTTTCAATGTAGATTTTCAACATAGTTCAATAATTAAAGGTTCAAAGAAAAACTTATAAATCATATTTTCTATACGTACGTAATGATGTGAAGAATTGCAGTAAGCTAGGGAATATTATATCCTGCTTGCGCCTGTACGTTTAGTTAAAATTGTTCACCTTATTTGAAGATGACAGACCCACATAGTACTTGGATATAAATCTCATAACTTATTTTTTTATTTAGTCAAACTATTTTTATTTTATACGCCATGAGATAATCATTGTTAATTACTATGATTTTAGACTATCTGTGTTTTCTTTAAATTGATAACTAAACTAGCACAATAATTAATGCTAAATAAAAAGTAGTATAAAATTACCTTTCAATAAACCTTCAGAGTAATCAATAATAAGAAATGACTAAAAGCAACTTGACAACATGGTAAGTATTTATAAGAAATGTTAAATAATCAAACTTAAATTGCCCTGTTCGAACGTATATGGATTCATCTTAGACTTATATTGTCGTATCTACTTTTAAATTTATACAGTATTAAAACAAGTTACCCAACGAAATTATCAAGAATTAGTCTATGGAACTCTAAAATGATAAACAAATTATTTTTAAATAATATTTTTACACAGATTTATATTTTAATCAATCGAATGAGATAATAAAAAAAATATTCAAGAAATATATCAAAAGACAACAATACTACCTGATGATAATGGTTTTCTCAATGTTCTAAATTGTGTAGTGCATTTTTCATGAATGCCAGATGTTATTGATTTCAATTGTGAACACTTTCCTGTACAGATCTGTCGTCTTTTCAAAATGTCTATTTGTTCCGTAAGCTGAAATCAAAAATGGATAATCTAGTTTATATCTGAATGTAGAAACATTTTTATCAATCATGAGTAGACTAAATGAAGGAAACAGAAATTTCGATAGGCCTAAATCATTCATTATGAAATAAAGTAATTTTACTATAAAACCGCCAAAGCCATTTAATAAAACTGACCTTAATTTTAGACGATTCATCTTGAAAATAATCAAAGATCCAAGTTTAAGTTTTTATATAACTGTGTTAAAACGTTGTATGGAATAAGATGATTAACTAGCCAAAGAGCTTTACCATGATCATATTTAGTTTAGTCAGTGACTGAAAGCATTGTTCTTACGAGCAGTTAACACTGGTTATTAATGAAGCAAATTCGATTAATTATCTAGTGAATATGGCCATCAGTGAACCTTCTAAATAATTGAACTCTTAAAAGTTTACAATAAAAACCTATACTACTAATAAGTAGTATTTTTCAAACCTACCCACTATAATGAATTGCTCCACAAAGGTATCTTATAAGTATAGAAATGTCTTTTTTTGATTTTGTGGATTCAGTCATAGAAAATGTCATTCAGATTACTTTGTTTTGGAATTAATTTATTATTCAAAGTTCAAATGGACGTTTTACGTGAGCTATCAGCCTACCTGATACTACACATATTGCCAAGTGCTATTTCTACCTTTATTTAATGTTATCACGATCTTTCTGAATGAAATTTTTAGAAGTGCTAGAAAGTTTCTTTTTGTCTATAGCGTTTAAGTTAATGTGTGTGTTGATATGCCGGAGACAAACTCGAAGAATTTTTTAATCTTTGTTCATTATTTGCGAATATACCAAGAAAGAAACTATAAACACAGGATGCCACCATTCTATATTACTTCATTTGCCCCAAAATGAGTTGAAAAAATTATTCTTACTATGCATGAAAGGGGTTCGAATTAAATTTGATTACTAGTCATTCAGACAAATTTATGGGGTGACCATGGAATATTCACTACTGCATTTTTGCCATCTTTATGGCTAATCTTGAATAACGGGAACAAGAAATCGAAGATGCAACATTCTACAGAAGGTTTATTGACTACACATTTAATGTTTTTAATAATATGAACCGTGTATCACCGTCACTTTATCAGTTTAGTGAAACACATGTTAGGATAAATTTCATAATGTAATATGAACATAAAAATCATTTCAACTAATAAAACCCAAAAATAAAACGAATGAACGATGGAACAACAGAGTAAACCTCATTAAGAAAATAAATATGGAAAGAGCAATACTTAAATTATAATAGTTTTGTTTTGTTGGTAACAAGTGCTTTTTATTCGAAACCTTGTTCAATAGGGCTTTAAAGTTGTGCTTGACCGACAAAGTACAGGGAGTAATCGCATGGATTGGAGAGTGCCTTACAAAAAGTGTAGATCCAAAACAATTACTATGAAGTATAGAAAAACGATTACAGGGAATACTAAATAGACAACTGTTAACAGAAAACATGTTTTCATCTGTTTTGAACTCAAAAGTGAGGAGATTTCAGGCAACATTGATTAAAGCAGCGCTGTAGATAGGTTTTACATCAACCCATCTATTTTCGGTATATAACATCAAAGATTCCTTACATCAATCAAAAGTGGATCAATACCCTTCTGAAGTTAACTCTAAATATATTTACGAATTTACATGTACTTGTGAAAGCAAATGCATATGAAGGATTGAAAGAAGGGGATCTACAATGTTTTCAGAAAATATTCCCCGTAAATTATCTGAAAGGAAATAAATTTTTCATAGGTGCGTTCAATAAACACGTGAATGTCTCAAAAGCATTAAGAATAATGAACAGACATCGTACACCATTTTTATTCTGCTTTGCAAAAGCCATTGTCATCAGGCGCTTCCGATCTGATTTTTGGATATCGAACGACAGTGTGGTAAACCTCATTATTAATTACAACTTCACCCACCTCTCCTTATTTATCCTTTTATCTGCAAAACATAAGTACTAATCAATCTTAACTATTATGTTAAATATGTTGTTTCCTCTTGGTTATTAGTCGTTTCGAACTAAACGTCATTGCTTGTAGTATGTAATTAAAAAGCTTTTACAATAATATTACAAAAGAACTCGATTAATATCTCATAATTTAATAATTTTCATAGGAAAATTATCAAAAGTACAATACGAGGTGTTTAACTGCTATATAATAATTCGAGTGAATTACCAGGAACTGATGCTGCAGTTTTACTTTACCGCCATGGTACAACAGAAGAACAAAACAAAATTAAAATATATTATAAAACAACTAACACTTTTCAAAATGATTTAGTTCGTATAAAGGAAATATCCCCTGTATGTTAACACAGAATTGTGTCTACAAATTAAGATGACTCGATTGCAATGTCTTCTATATTAAAGAGTCATCTCGGGAAATCATGTCTTGAGCCAACGAATATCATAGGTACACAACAACCCTCCTAGAACAAGGAAGACTCCAAACTAAATCGTCAATAGCAGTTGATGCCATTTTCAATAACCATCAAGTTCATATTAAAAATATCAGAATAATACATAAAGGCTTTATCACATATTGCTTAATCTTGCTACTCTCAACAGAAAAGGCCTCAAAATTCATCCAACTTGGACCATCTATCTGAGCTACCATATCTGGTTCTGTTTACATCTCACTCCAATATCATACATACAAATTCAACTCTGTTCTTTTGCACCAATAATGTCGCATTTTTCATCGTTTAACATACATAAATACATACATAAACATACCTCACGTAAATCACCTTGACTAAAAAGACATGACATTGACTTGGTTAGACCTGTTTTTTGATTGATCGCATGAAATATTCTTGCTTTAATCCTTTGTACTAATTAAACTTGGATTAAGTTAACTTTCAGAATGGGGATTCGTGGAGATTTTAGTAAGTTTAACAGTTGGATTCATGAGTCGATCTAAATAGATCACTATTGAAAACGTGGAAGCGCTGTACGGCTGTTTCGATTAAAGTTAGGCATTAACACCGTCGGATCGTGGATGTGAACTTCTGAAGAGTACCATACTAGGACGAGATGACTGTCTAATACTTCCAGGTTTTCAACAGTAGTCTATCTTAGATCGACTGATGAATTCAACTGTTAATTTAATTTGTTTACTTATTCTCTAAAGGAGTGGCTTACAATGAATCACAAAACGTCAGAAAATTTAACAATTTAATTTTTCAACTCATTGGGATATTACAAATATATTATCTTTATAACCACTACAAATGTAGTTTTAGCCCATTTTCAGTTGATGAGATGCCTTGAAATATAATGAATTCACGTTAATATGCAGACCCCATTCCTCTCTGTTTGTTTATAATCATTAAAACTTTCAAACAGATTTAAAAACGTATCAGTAAAAAGCACTAATGGAGAGACTATCGTTTTGACTCCAAAGTTTTATTGTTGTAAAAAAAACCCACCTCTCTTGTTTGACGTTGAAAATTGGCTTTAACGGTAGATAATTCTTCAGTTTGCTCATTAATTATTTGTAGATAATAATCCCTTTCTGAAATAGTAGTTTCTAATTCACTGACCTTTACAGCTTTTTGGTCAAGGAACAATCGCACACAGAAAACAAATGACAAAATGATACATTTAATTTCGTTGATAACTTTATTAAAAGTAACTTCGAAGGAAAGGTCAAAACTAAATTTTAAACTTAATTTTAAATTAACCACTAGAAATTATCTATTAACTCCTAAGCCTCGTTTATGACATTGTGTTGATACATTCTTGCTCTGTGATAATAATTCTCAACTCCAACTTCACAACTGTGAACGAAATTGCTTCCATCCTTTTCTATTCCCTCCCACGCTAACTAAAGTAAAAACGCCAGTTTTGCAGATGAAGCTTTCCGATGTTGATCCAGCACGAAAACCGGTCAAACTACATTAAAATTATCGATTGTTTATTAATCGAAAATAACCAGGATATTGCAAAATGACTAATTGTCATGGACTCGAAATATCGTAAAAATGCTTTGAAATTCTTTGAATAGTCTTTACACTAAATAATTTATTACAACAACAGTTCAACTTAGTCGATCTTGATTTGCTTTTCATAATTTATAGTTTAAGATTTCATGTCCCCAATATAAGGGATTTTAATCGATTTGGAATGCAGATTGTTTTTAATACCTTTATTCATAATCCTTTAAAAATATTTGATTCCGTGTAAAGAGAGATTGACGGCTGAAGCTGTACTTTGTCAACTAGTAATTAATGGGTAAATCTGAATTTTATTTTACTTTTTTTTAATTCGTCTCTTATTTAGTAGACAGTAACGATTACTTTCAATTGTTCTAACCGGTTCATTGAACTGAGTATACGATGAAAAACCAGTTCGGTTAGTAACACAACATATTTATTTATTTATCCGGATTTTATGTATCATGTATCACGTTTAATTTCAATTCATCAAATGGTTCCATTTCATCATTGATCATTACCAGGGGCGATTTACGGTCAGTGGGATTTTTTCTCATATCAGATCTACATACGCCTGTTATCTTACCATGTTCACCGCTTTTCCACATCAAATGACTAATAAGAACCATAACACACCCTGTTTCCAAGATTATTAATATGATTAGACGGTTTACTGAGTATAAAGTTACATGTGAACCATAAATTTATATTCGACTACTTTGAAGTTTTATTGTATTCCCTAGTAAAAGTTTGGACCAGATTGACGAGCGCAATGTTGGATTTATTTAACGTTTAATCGTCAAGATTCATAAGAATATAACTTCCATTTTAAGGTAAACTATTTAAAAATATTGAACACTACATGATAATCAGTCATTCAGCAATTTTAGAGTAATTCTCCTTTTGTTAGTTATGTTTCATAACAATGAATTGATGATACCTAACAAACTCATTTGTCATGTCCTCATTTCTTACTAAAAATATCAACAATTCATCACTATGATAAGTTACGAAAACCACCAACTCTTGAACTAGTAGGACCTATTTAAAGTATCACTTCATAAAAAGAATTTTTCATATATGTATTATCCAACTGGGATTTTATTTCCTAGTTAGCTAATTAGTAAGTTTACACAGATAAAATAACAAAAAATAATTCAACTTCAATTAGTTAGTAGTAAATATCTCAACGCTACGTGTTGGTAGCATACGTCTTAAATCTTCTGTGAGTGAACTTTTAAATGATCACGAGAACATTCACTTACCAAGTGTCTTTTCATAATCACTAATAGAACGTTGATTGTTCTTAAAAGTGGATTTTAATTTGCCCAATTCATAATTCAGTTCTTTTATTTGATTTTTCAGAAGTTTTGTTTGTGCTTTATTCTCTCTGTTCATCATTGATTTCTTCTTTAATTCACCAATAATTTTCATCACCTGTTGGTAAAATATATCTTACTTAAATGAATTTAACATTAAAGTGTATCGTAATGTAGCATTATAAGTAGTATACTGTCGATTGTTAAGTTCTATCACTATAAATGTTTGGAAGTTAAAACAACCTGAAACTCATCTAAAAGTTGAAACCTTTGATAAGATTTTTGATTGGATGAAATTTTTATGTGGCTCATTTTCCAATACATGTGAAAAATTATTTTAAACTTCATTTGTTTGCTGTGTAACAAGTTCAGGATTTCTTGATTGAAAATATGATAATATAAGATGGCTCAATTTTCAACAGATAGCACTCAATCGATTTATATGAAACATGAATATAGAAAAACTGGTAATCCCTTAAAAAACATCGTACGTTACTGTTACGTACTCTACCTGGTTATGGCAGAATACGGTGTACAACTATCGGCGCTCGAACGTGTAGAACCCCAAAGTCGCATATCAAAGGACGGAAGAAGCAGCGAAATGTGATTATTAGATAAGACACCAAAATATACAGAATAACATGGGCATTTATAAGATTAGTACTAGCTATGACATAATCATGATCCAACCAATCCACAAGCAGGAAAGTTATGCAGTCATCCAATCATAGCATACCACGTTGATATTTTAGGTGCTATTGTAGTGAAATAAAACACTAGTGGGGACAATCCAATGTATTTAACAACAAATTACAGAGCTAGTTAGTAAAATCAAACAACCATATATTGAATCGTTAATTTGCACATTGTTCATCAATTGTCTCAAATCACTCAGAATCCCCTTGTTCTTGAATTTTCATACAAATTGCATTCTGTCTTCATTCTTTATTGTTCAATCTTCTTATCTCTCTGCCGCCAGACATTCTGTTCAGTGCTCATGTCATATACTACTTATGTCTACATAAGTCGCACACACCACACTATGAGGTTCTGATTGAACGAAATCTCTTCGGCTCCCCTAGAGCCTCTGGAGGTTTCGTCATGATTTTTGGAGCCATCCCAACAATTACATGTTAGCTTCATTTAGATAACCACTGTAATCCTGAAATAACTAGTTGTTTGATTGATGTTAGTCTGCGATGTAATTTATGTTACGTACATAAAATAAGGGAGCTGAATAATTATTATGTTTAGAATATGAGTTTTTGTTATCAACATCTTACTGTCATACTAATATTTGTTTACATATAGTTCATGATCGATATCAGTTAATCAACCTGATACATAAACTAATTCTGTCGCATGCGCTGAGGGTCAAACACAATTTATCATGATTTTACTACAACGTAACTATAAATGCGGGTTATAACTAAGCGAACTAACTACGAGCGTTACAATCATTTAGTATATATTTAGATGAATACAATAAATGGCTTATAACATCTGCGTTGCATACAAATGTAATCTCTTAATAACATCATGCATTGCTAACTTATATGAATGGTACATAACATAGTGTCAGGAATAAACAAAGAATATTATTGCTCATTATTTCAAGGTGCTAAAAACTTTAGTTCTTCATACCATGGTGATAAACACATTTATTTTTCTTGTTGTTATAGTGCAATTAAATACAGATTTTAAATCCAGATTGACATTACCATTTCAACCGAAAGCGCTAGGGTTTTATAGGATCTTTCAAAAAAGATGAACCACTGAACTAATGATATGATATGAAATAATAATAGCTTTAGGAAGTAAATCCACTTACAAGTGTAAAGAATATAACACAGATTAATTATTCTGATAATGTTTATTGAAATAACCAAAACGAAAGATCTTGGGAATTTTTTGATGAAAGCTTAAGTATAACTAAAAATAAATAAAGAAGTCTTACGTTCTCAATGAATTCTCCTATATGGTTTTCTTCAAAAATTTGTTCCCATTTCCAATTTCTGTTCAAGTTCAATTCATTATTGATCATATTGTATAACCTTTTCATTGACAGTTCTATTGATTTAGCGAAACTTTGCAAGTGCTTATTAATTTTGTTTGTCTCATTTAATTGGTTTCGTGTTGTCTGATCAATGGTTATCTGTTTATTTAAACGGTCATCCAATTCTGCAATATAAGACTGCACATATGAAGCATTGTGAATGTTCTGAGCAATCGTAAAATTACTTGTGACTTTGTAAAACAAAATTGTTACTACTATGAAGTTATTAGATCAAAACACATTTTAACAACTAAAGGTGTTTTAACTGTTCCTACACGTTTTTCTAGATGTATTTAGCTGGCAGTCTTCTCCCAGTTATAGCCTGACTAACCATTTCCGTTTTTCATTACTCCTTCTGGGTGTCTGAAAATTTATCATTTGCACAGCTCCGTTTTGTGACCTCAATTTGATCGAAGCGCTAGCGACGTAGAGGAAATAAAGATCCTACAAACGTCTTATATACCTTGTCGACAAATCTTGTTAATAATAACATGGATAAAAAAGTAGGATAAGAATGTTTCTAATGTTCATATTTCATACGTGAGTCTCGGTAGACAGACGAGAAGATGAAAGATGGCAAAGGCCAACATGCCAGCTCAGTTTCATTAAAACACGACTTAAATTTTGGGAATGATATATACAAAAAAACACATAGACACATATATACTATCATACAAAATGACTGGAAATACTATGATAAAGCATGTATCCAAAAGTTAATTTAAATCATATGATCGTGTAGAAACACTAGATACTACAGACAATACTTGAACATGACATCTTTTTGGATTAAGTACTCAGAAAACAGAGGGAATCCTAAGTATATTCAACAATTACCAACTGTAATGTGATACAACTTGTTTGAAAGTGTCATCCGAAAACCATGATCTTATAGTTTATTTATTTATTTTAACACATAGGTATTGGTACAAGGAGGCACCAAGTACATATGCGCCACACGAATCTCAATTGATTTGTGTGAGGGCTGTGATATTGCCCGGGTGCCCAAACCGAAGCAGGTGGTTTTCTTAGGGGGCCACACCCCGAGCCTCAGACCTGAACGTCTTATCCACAAGGCAGTGGAGCATAGTAAGGAGATGCAGTCCCATGGTAGCCGGTGACCAACGATTGGTTCATACGCCATTTGTTCCTTCAGGATACTGGAGCCCATGTGCACCATTGGTTTTGGATCCGGTTAAAGCGCCGGACATTCGCTTTTCGTCCTCTCAAGTTCGTAAACAACACCCGTGGTGTGAGAAGGCAGTGAGTAGGACTTCCCTGGTAGAGGTTATATACGCGTGGCCATGTGAGAGCATTTCGAGAGGGAGAGCGGACTCTTCCTACTCTCGGCCGTACCAGGGCATTTGGGGGCTTATAGGGAAGGTGTAGAGACAAAAGACTCCTGGTACGAGAAGTGTTGTGGCGCGTGGTACCTACGAGTTGATCCTGATAGACAGTCTCCCTACGAGTAATTTGAGTAAAAAAATGAAAGTAAGAAAGGAAGTCCGTTGACTTAAGCGATCAGATACAATATAGGGGTCAAGTGCCTAAATTCTACGGTATCTGGTTTACACAGGTGAGTAATCCAAGTGTTCTACGAATTTCTTGTTAAGAATTTACAAGAAATTCTGAAAAGTGATTGAGATGACTTTGGGCAATCAGAGTTGACTATATACCATAAAGAACCACCCACATGACTACGAAAACGAGTTTAAATGAAGAAAATGGGCAGGTTAATTGCACATGTCCTAGAATTAACTGTTTACTTAAAAAAACGGAAAATTTTACTCAGATCCTAAACAAACTCAATTGCTCATCAATTTGAGTCAGAGTACATCTGCGCAAAGCACGGCACTCATGATGAATGAATAAGTATAGTGAAATCTAGGAAATTTACTTGAACAAGAAACATCCATAGAAAGAATTGTTTACCAACTCTTAACTTGAAACCGTTAACAGCATTTCTATGAAATTACATTCGATGGATCTTGTGTTTATCATTTGACTGCTTATGGTAGTTATATTAAGAGTTCAATGATCCATAAATAAAACAATTCACTTTGTGTAATCGTATATAGTCTTATTTTTGCTAGTTTCTTAGCTTTTAACATAAATTTTCAAGGATCAAGATTTGAAAACGTCCTTTCGCTTATGGATTCTTTAAAAGTTATTTATTAAATATTTGTATGTTACGCTAAATAAAGTTAAGAAATATACTTGTTTATACGGTCTGTGAGAACTATGGTGGGTTTCTAAAACAAAGGAACTTCGAAAAAGAATGAAATGATCGTTCTGCATTTGGTTCCTGCACATTATTAAGATTCGGTTTTATGTTCGTTATTCCGAATGTATTTCAAAATAAACTTACTTCTGTTGCTTCCAGTTTTGCACTTAATGTGGATAACTGACTTGTTGCTGAGTCTCTTTCACATTTCATCTTAATCAGTTCTTTTTGCGTCGTATCCAATACGGATTCTAATGCTTTCCTAGAGTTTATATCTGAATCCTGGAATAATTGACATACATTGAGTGAAATATATTGATGACATAAATATCTTCAAACCCATTTATTTAATCTAACAAACAAGAATGTTCTGTATTTTCATTTGCCAATGAGCAAATTATTACTTAGTAAGTATCAAACAGAAGACATAAAATTAAAAAGACTTTCAATGAGTGAAACAATTGTATTTCTGCTCATTGGGATATAACAGAAAGATATGTTTATTATTAACACTACGCAATTCTCAATTTATTTGAAACTATCAAGTTCAACCTTGGCATTGATACCTACAAAAAGACTTTCCTATGATGTAACAAAACTCGAATTTTACCTCAAGTCTTTACTCCAATTTTATTGTCAATATTCTAAGATTATAGTATTTTGTGTGTCCTAATTTAATGGGACACTAACTATTATACAACGCACCACTCATTTAGTAGAACTAGCTTGCATAAGAACTTTCCACCCAAAAACCTGTTAGCAGTACTTAACATCAAGGGACTGAGCAAATACATAGGCTAGTTAAAAGTCAAATTTATTTTACTTGAAAATATTCATGAACATGTATACGCTAGACATTATGCTGTAGTTGATACCGTTAGTAAGTTTTAAATAAAATTGAAACTATTGCAGAATGAAATCATTGAATAACTAAAGTGTTCACGAAATGAAAATTTAGTTTGCTGGTAATGCTAATCATCGATATACACTATACTAAATTAGAAAGTAACAGAAATTTTGACCAGACGTTGCTTTCTAAATATTTAAATGATACATTTTCTTTTTTTTTAAATTGAAGTTTTGAAAATATAGTTATATTTTAGTGCTGATCATAAGTCAGTTGTCATTGTGCTTTTAGTAAAGAAAACTTATCTTAAGCTGGTGAGAAAAAATAATAGTTTAAGAGAGAAATTTCGGTGATATTAGGTTGTCTTGGGTGCATGAATAATTTATGAAGCGCTCGTTGGCTTTATAGAAAACATTACAAAATTTTTATGATAAGGATATATTCTCTATTGGCCAGTATTTTATCAAAAGACAAGACCGACAGCCATGATAGATTTTCAGTGATCCAACACAACAACGTAAAGTATTCAGGTGATTTACTGGACATATGTTGAGTTTTTAGTTCAACTGGCAAACAAAACGTTTAATAAACTGATGTTACTGAAATGATTTCCATTCACAGGACAGATCCCGACGTATTTGGAAAAGCACAACTACTAACTAACTAGCCTAATTATGTGACTATGTTTTATGAAGTCTTAATCGTCATTCATGTACTAAATATTGAAATAAAATAGTATGTGTTTTATTTATCAGTTAATGAAAGAATAACCAAGGACAAAAACGAAGGTTCTAAAGTAACTAGTAGACCTTTACTTCTGAATGTTAACAGATTTTCAGCTTTATCATAAATAGAAAAAATCTTACATTTTGTTTTGTTGTGAAATTGGACAACTTTTTCTCCAACTCCTGAATTTGCTCACACTTTTCAGTAATTTCTTTTTCGTATTTCGACTTAGCATTGGCCACTTCTACACTTAGAGTTCTTGCCTCTAGTGTTGCTCTTTCGGCACGCACAACTGTATTATTTAGTTCATCTTGCAGTTGTTCACATTGTTTCCGAAGGCTAGAGCAAAATCATTCAATCACATAGCTTGTAAAATGTCTACTACTTACAATTTATAGGTCGAGAAAATGTATACTTTGATTTAATTTGAAGAGTTCCTAGTAACGTTTATGATTTTAATGGGATATATTTAATGACCAGACCAAAATAATGTATGCAAACACATAATTTTTGTAGTTTCATTAACATAAGTTTTGAACCTTTCAAATGATACTGATATAAAACTTATTTTTTTAAAAGGAAAATCATAGTAATAGGTAATTATTTTACTGTACAATATAATGGCAGCTTTCTTATTGATTTCAAGTAAAATTACCTAATAATCTTAAAGTTTCTAAAGATTACTTATCACATAAACCGATAACTATAGAAATATCTACTGGTGTCAATGAAAAAACTGAGCTGGTTATTATCGACAAAAAAATATTCATAAATTTTCAGCTTAATAAACTAAATTTCGTAGACCATATTTCGAAAGTAAAAATTTAGGCTCTTAATGTGTTACATTATCATAAATTTTCAAGCCTTTGTGTTATTACGTATATATTCGTTTATAAGAAACAGTAAGTACAATAACACGACAACTGATTTTCATCTACAAAGGCATTTTTCATTTTCTATAAGTATACGAATGACCAATAAAATTCTTAGTTTTCCATTTCCTCGACCGTTTAAACTTAAATTGACTGAATTTATAACCACTGGTCAGAACAACTATAGTCATACCTCTGAAACTTACATTTTTTGATTTATTTGGTGTTTTTTCGTATTCAGTATGGTTTCTGAAATATCTATTCCTACAATCATAATCGGAGCTAAGGTTTCATCTTCGAGACAGTTACTTAATGTAGTAACCATAGTATATGGTTTAAAAGAACAGTTAACACTTTAATATCAAAATCTAGGTGATGTTGTAATTCATCAATTAAATAATATTTCACATGTCACCTATTTAAAACGACTCGACTCTCCATGCGTAAGATAAATGCCACTCGGACCTAAGAAATGCAGTTTACTTTTTTAGAATAGGCAAAACTGTTATATTTATGTGATATGTAAAAATCGTGTGAATTAACGTATATTTGAATTTCAAAGGCTGTTAAATGAGTTTCCTATGTGTGAATATGATAAGATATTACTTCTTTAGGATTGATTGATTGTGTCTGAAATGAACTACAATAAAAAGTGGTAGAATAAGTCCGAATAAAAGAACATTATTAAGCCGATAATTTGTATTTTTTAGGTCTTTGTTCGTAGTTAGGTATTCAAAGTTTACTGCCAAATTTAACGAAATAAACCAAATGGCTTATTCGTTAACGGATTTTCTACTACAAAAGTATATCAGCATTTACTAATCTCATAAATGCTGATATAAAAAGCTGCTGTTTAACACAAAGACAATTCTGTATCACACCTGACATACAGTACAGAATAAAAGGATTATTATTATTCCTGTTACGCTATTGTTTTTAATAAAATGAAATCTCATAATCAGTCGTTTAAAATGTAAAACGATCCGTTTTGGTATCTTAATGGAAACATAATTGACAGTATTACATTCTAACCATACTTTGTAAGCATATAATATAATTAAGTGTTCATACCATAGACTCGGCAGTTAAATATATCTGGAAAATAGTCTTACAAAAGGCATTTAATAACACTCACGATGACTTGTGTTTTTCTTCAATTCTAAAAATTTCTGCTTCATGCTGACTTCGCATTACATCTATTGTGGTTTTCAGTTTTTCAATTTCTATAATTTGTAAATGTTCATTCTCTTCTAATGTCTGAGATCGTGAAATAAATTTTTATTACAATTAAAAACCAATTTTTCTGATAAATTAAATTGTTAACGAGTTCAAAGGCCATTTATATTTAGCATCAATAAAAAAGGAAGTTCAAGCTTAGTGATTAAGTTACTTGGATTCCATCTGTTGCGTTGAGTTTAAAACCGTTTTTATGCAAATTGATTTAAACAGATAGAGAATAGTGTTTCTAATCCTAACATGCACAATATTTAATGACATATTATCATACGAAGTTGCAATTGCTTAATAACTTGCGTGAAATTAAATAAAGTAACACCCATAAATTCAAGGATCACGGGAATAAATACAAGATATTTTATTATTGTTGTCCAAGCAGCAATATGCACTATTTTTAGCAATTTTCTTTTACCTAAACCAGCCTGTGCTTCTTGGAAATTTACTGTGAACTGGTTCCCGTTAAATTTATAAAAATGTCCAACTCCATAGCTTTAGCATCTTTCCCAAGCTTTTTTATTAATTTGGGGAGTCAAAAAGATCAGTAAACAAGGGCAAACAATAAAACTTTATAATTTGATTTGTATATCACTGTACTCTACATTTATAAATGGCCGGTTTAAACTAGAACAGAAATTGAATGATAGGAACATAGTACTTTAGCTTTACATAAAAACTTATCATCATTTTATCGAAAGTAACTAGTCTAACGGACACACCTATATAATCAATTTGCTTAATTTGTATAAATAACTACTTTTTTGAGTTTCACTGTAGACAACGCTTCTCAAAATTCAATTACATTAAATCTAAAATTCATTTATAAGGATAAACACAAAGTGGTAGCTGTTTACTTGATCTGCTTTGGTGTCAACCTCGAAGCACTGGATGGCCGTTCCGTCCTATTGCGGGACTCCTCAGCAGATTTGAACCCACGACCTATCGAATCTCGCGGGGGTCTAGATCGTGGACACGCACTGCTGAGGAGTCCTACAATAGGACGGAACGGCCATCCAGTGCTTCGAGGTTTTGTATGGTGGTCTAGCTTCAACTGGCTCATGATCTCAACCACTGAAAAATGATATTGATTGATTTATAAAAATATAAGCTGGAAATTTAACAAAATATTTCTTTATATACTAAGTACTACTTTAATAAATCTTTTTCTCAACTCTACTTACTTTTAAAAATTTGTTAAAATAACTGTGTATATATTCAATATCTTGAATTTCGAGATTTTTTGGTTCTATTAAATTATTATTGAGATCAAATTTTTGTATAGCTGAACTGATGTATTCGATAAACAATTTATAATTTCCGATTTCTTTGTTAGATGCTGCCAAACGTTCATTCATTGCACACATAAGCTAAGAGAAAAAAAATATTTGGTCAACTTTTTTTAAAATCTCTTTTTTTCAATGCAATAAATGTTTTAAATTCAGTAACTTAAAGACAGCTTAACCTATCGATTCAACAGAACACAAATCCAGTCTTTTCAGAAATAGGACCATAAACGGTTTTCACTTAGAATCACTAAGAAAATCACTAGAAAATTGTGAAATTGCTGAAATTTAATTTATTATCGGTGCGAAAATTCCTGATTACTCCAGTTCAAGTAAGCAAATTGTTTGTTTTATTGTAAATAATCGACTAACATTGAATAGTTTATTATATAGAATGAAACCGAGTTTTAAGTTTTACTTAATTTTTATGATGAATAAAAGTCTGATTTTTGGGAATTCATCAAATTGCTATTATTGAATTTGAAACGTTGTATTACTGTTTACGTGCAAACATTTAAAATCCACTATCTTTATGAAACGACATTTTTGTTGAAGGTAAAACGCTGAATTTTATTGATTTATTTATAACAAAATTAGTTCTCATTATGGAAATAGACTGTTTCAATGTTTTTGTTATAAAATGATATTCGTCACATAAGTAAATTACAAATATTTGAACAGTTTTGCCTGTGAAAATCTACTCACTTGACGTTAGATAACTTTTACCCTCACTGACTAATATTTCATTTTTTCCCTATTGGAAGGAGAATTTCAATAAGCATCATTGGATCATACATAATTTGATTGCTCTAAGCCAAAATTTCTATAAAATTTTAGACTGTTCAGAAAATTTTGACACTTTGAAATAGAAAGGATTTATTTATTTTATGTCATGTAAATTGTTAGGATGTCATTCGTTTGACAGCAGCTTACATCATTTAGAAATCTGATAGGATACGTTTATACACAATTGAATAAGACCTTATAGAATTCCTTGAGACAAAAATATGAATGATAAAAATCTGAAGTAACTCTAGTACTAACTATATGACAGACCTCTATCATTGAACTTCAAAGTATGAAAAATAAGAGACTATTACCCGTCCTTTTGTGTAAATATTATTTACAATTTAAATCGAGTAAATATATTCGACTAAATGTTACTAATGAAGAGCTACTACAGGTAGACAGAACATTTTATTGATAAACTAACAGATTCATCATAATTCACTGCACAAAAACTTCACTTCAAACATATTTATGTTCAAATCTTATTCAGTAGAAATCTACTACAAAATCACTATTTAGTAAATTTCAGTGTTTTATATTGGCACTTTACAGTTGCTCAAAAAGTAGTTTGATTTTAGCAATATACGTGGTTCGTGACGTTCCTAAAAAAATTCGGAAGTCCCTTAAAGACAAACTTTTGACCAAATGTTTATGACAGTTGATTAGTAATCTACAGAACTTTTTAGCTTTCATTATTTTGATAATATTCCATACACTTTTGAGTTAATTTTCATAGCAACCAAACACCATATTCATTATTTTTTGTCGTTTGCTAACTTGTGATCTTTTCTGAGACTGATTTATTCAATATATAGTGAGTAACTGTAAGCTGTAAAGTTTGCCGAATTAAAAGTTGAACAGTAGCTTAAACTTCATAGAATAAAAATTAGATTGTTTTGAAAATTTAGTGATATTGAAGACTGTGGACCGTCGAATACCTGCACATTGATTAGCCTTGACTCTAAAGGTCCAGAGTTTACTCTTACATGGAATTATCGATGTACACAGATGGGTATTTCTAAATCAGAAATACTTAGTGGTCTAACTTCAACTGGTTTTTCACGGTTCTCCAGTTACTCACAGTTCAAGATTAGCTTTATTTCCCGATAAAAATTTCCGCTAGACTGAAGACATTTCAAATCAAAAAAGTTGGCTTCATAAGAAATGGTGGGTTGCTTTAAGAATAGTATAAATTAATTCGTAAAACAGTAAAACTACAAAATGTCGTGCTAAAATGAATCACCTTCCAGCAGTACATAACAAACGTTTCTGAAGTCCCATCAACTTATGAGACTGTGTTGACCTCAATTTGTTAACAGTATAATAATAAAAGTCTGGAAAAGCAAATCAGATAATGACCAAAATGAAAGTGGTTAGGACTGTTCCATATTTTTGTAATCAAACATACTTCTTCTTGTTCAGCATTAGTTTCCAGTAACTGATCCACACAATATTTCAAATGCTGAAATTGCATTCCGCTTTGTTTAGATTCCATGCTTGTTTTGGTGATTGCTTGGTCTCTCTCTTGAGAAACTGCTTCCAATTGGTCACGAAGTGATTTGACCACGATGGTTAGTTCACGCTGCTCTTCAAGGCGTTCTTTACTAAGCTATAAAGTAAATAGTATCATCTAATTGTTTAGTTTGATTTTAAAATCTCATCTCAGACAAAATATGTATTTTTTCAAACATTACAATGTTATGTATTTTAACTAATAAAGCTAAAACAGTTGCATAACTAAACAATCTACTCAAACCTTGGTAATGTTATTGGTAAAATTATTATTAGCTGAATCAAGTTATCTGAAATGAAAACGTGTTTGATACAATCGTCGAATAGCTAGTAAATGTTGTTTACAGAAGAACATCATTGTCAGATCTTTGATTCCCGATTCATTGGAACATGCGTGGTGACCTACTGAAGAGGATAAATACCCGCTGCGAATCTTTTTACAAGAAATTATTTACAAATGTATATTCTTACAACAAAGCACCACGAGTGTGTTAAGAACGCGGATTATCTAATCTAACTTCTATGTCCCATCAAATTGCGCTTTCCCACTTTTAACCTTTTCAGGAAAATAGAAACTCATTATTTAACTGCACCAAGATTTAGATAAATTAAGAAATACTAAAAGGTTAAAGACAAAATGGAAGAAAAGAAAACATCAACAGCGAAATCTACTTCTGATGATTTAGGAATTATTTTTAATCTACCACATGAAAGTAAAAGCACGAAAGACATCACCATTTGTTGAAACTGACAACATTTTAGGTTACATAATAACCTGTCAGTATATTACAAAGCTTTCTGATCCTAGAACCAATATTCCAATCACTGTCGGAATAATGGTCTCTTATAGTGACTAGATCAAATAAACAACTTACATTTAGACTAACTGAAAATACGTTCCACCTAGTCCTTCAAAAGCGGAATTAAATACTCCTTGCTTATTACAAAGTGTTTAAACAATTGTAATTAAAAAAGCTAACAAAAACAAAATAACGGTAATCATGAACAAAACGAACTACAAATAAAGACCTTGCATATCTATCTACGTAACCATTTCTAAAGACTAATTCAAAAAATCTTCGAGCGATTAACAATAAAGTTAAATCAGAGACAGATCGGCTTATAAAACAACCAAAGTCATTTACGAAGAAAGTAAAAGAAGGTTACAGCAGGATCGCCACTGGCTTCTATTCTGAGCCATATCTGATAACGTCTCTAGCCACTGTGTTGCACCATTTCTCGGACCCCAGCCAAGGAGTCGTGAAGGACCAACACAAGCCAGCCCTTTGTAGCATTCTTTCATACCACGACACCATGTCACACATTGACCACCTCTCCGCTTTTTGCAACCAGTCCAAGCGTCGGCAAATAATGCACGACGTGGAATTCTCTGGGACGACATTCGTAGAACATGTCCAAGCCACCGAAGTCAATGTTTCAAGATGGTGACACCAATTGCATTATCGTCTCTGTGCCCGAACACACGATGCCGAACCTCTGCATTACTAACATAATGTTGCCACTGGGTGTCAGCAATACTTCGGAGGCAGTGATGATCGAACACAGAGTCGTCTAACATCCTCAACTCGGAGAGGCCAGGTTTCACAAGCGTAGAGCAGGACTGCTCTCACCGACGCGTTGTAGATCCGACCTTTTACAGACAGACTAACATCATGGAGGCACCAAAGATGGCCCAGATTAGCATAAGCCGCTCTGGCTTTCACTATACATGCATTGATCTCATCACTCACGCCACCACCAGCACGTTTGCAGCTACCTAGATACACGAACTTCTCGACTAATTCTATCTGCTCACCATCCAGAGTGAGTACAGGATTAGAATCCTGCTAGTCTTGTAGAAGTACTTTGCACTTCGAAGGTGCAAAGCACATACCATACCTACGGACACTGATTGCCAACTGATTAAGTGCGGATTGCATGACTTGGGCATTCTCGCACAGTAAGACAATATCATCAGCATACTCAAGGTCGAGAAGTCTTTCTCCAGGCAACAGATCCACACCACCATTACTTATTTCCATCAGAGCTGTTTTCAGAATGTCATCGATGGCAAAGTTGAAGAGGAATGGTGAGATTGGGCAACCTTGCCTAGCTCCACTGCTCGAATGGAATAGTGGAGAAAGGTGGTTGTATGCCCTCACTCTGCCTGAGGTGTTTATATATAGGGCCTTTAGGATGTTAATAAACTTCTCAGACACACCCTTCTTCAATAGACAATCCCAGAGAACAGTTCTGTCCAACGAATCGAAGGCAGCCCTGATGTCAAGAAACACTACGATTGTTGGCCTTTGATGAGTATGACGGTGTTCTAACATTTGGCGAAGGATGAAGATATGATCAATACATCCTCGACCGGAACAAAAACCAGCCTGCTCCTCGCGCGTCAATCTTTCTCGGGTTTTGAACAACCTACGAAGTATAACGGAAGCCAATAGCTTGGACGCAATCGGAAGTAGACTTATCCCCCGATAGTTGTTACAGGAACAACGTGAACCCTTTCTAAAGATAGGGACAACTATCGACTCATTCCATGACGTTGGTACACTCTCTAGTTCCCAGACCTTTGTAAACAACACAGTCATTTCCTTAGCCAGTAAGTCACCATTATCTTTAAAAAGTGCCGGAGGTGAGTCATCTGGGCCCAGTGATTTGTAGAGTTTCAAGAGTTGAAGTTCCTTGTGGACTTCCGCCTCATTTGGTGGATCAGTCGTCACCGGCCATGGAGAGCCGGACAGTTGAACTGCCCTTCAAAGAATTCTGCCCATCGTCCAAGACGTCGATGGATGTTAGTGATTGGCATTCCGTCATCTTCGCAGATTGTTTCGCTCACACCAGACTTCTTGCTGCCAGTGGCTCGGATGAGTTGGAAGAGCTTCTAGTAATTACCAGATGCAGCTGCTGCTTCCAGCTCGTTTGCACGCTCCGGCCACCAGGCTTCCCGGTCCTTACGCAAGCTTTGCCCGATTTCATTACGTAACATCCTTCGTCTGTGGTCAAACTCGCGGTCACCCGGAGTAGACTGACGAGCTTCAATGAGTTGTAAGAAATCAGAATAAACCTAGTGCTTATAAGCGGGACGTTTCGCGCAGCCGCAAGCGACTTTACTCGCCACTTTCATGGCGTCATGCAATTGCAACCAATGCTCATCTATACTTTTTTGTGGGATGGTAGCTAGTCTAGAAGCTAGCTTGGTTCGGTATTTACTAGCAACAGAAGTTGCAGCCAGCTTGCTTACATCAATCCTGTGGTGGCGGTCACTTCGTTATCCACTGAAAAGTAAGGTAAGATTGGCGCAGACCAGGGCATGACCATATTCCAGATAGGTACTCCAAAAAGAGCGGCAGTCTTGTACACAACCACGCCAGAGATAGCTGATCGCGATGTGATCAATCTGAGTCCAGGCTTGAGATGCAGAGGGAGGACGACAGGTGGCACATCGGCGATGACTGTGCCGAAAGACAGTACTAGCCAGAAACAGGTTTTGGTCTGTGCATAGTTGCAGTAGACGGTCCTCGTTATCTGTCCTGCGACTAACAAGTCCCCATCAGCAACCTAAATGAATCTCTTTTTTTGCCTAGACGCCCGACATGAGCATTCAAGTCTCCAGCTAGTACTACAATATCTGTCGAACGCACTTTCTGGAGAAGAACAGTTAACTGGTGGCAGAATTCATCCTTGATTGCATCCGGGCTGCAATCTGTCAGGGCATAGGCGGAGATGATGAAAAGACATCGTTTCTCATGCTGATTTCTTCTCACTTTGATGGAACTTTCTAATCTAACAGCAAATAACCGACTGTTAATGGGGATCCAGTCGATCAGTGCTGCCTCAGCTCTAGCGCTTAGTGCGACACCAACGCCAGCAAGACCAGACGAAGATGCCACAGTGTCCCTGGATAAACGCAAATAAAACAAGCTTTTTAAAGTAACAGATGGAGAGCAAACTTGTAGTACTTCACCAGAGTCTTGAATACGGGTCTCAGATAGACAACACACGTCAATATTAAGACTTTCCAAAGACATAACCAGCCCTATCTGTTGTCCGACCTGCATAAGTGTGCGAACGTTGAAGGCAGCCAGTTTGAATGGTGCGCGTGGTTTCAGAAAAACTGCTTCAGTACTCGTATTCGGTGATAGCATACAATTTTCAACCAGGCAGTGACTCGAGAACGTTTAGATAGAGCCGAATTTCCACCATAGGCGAGCTGCTTTATGAGTCGAAAAATAAGGATAGATAGAGTAGGAATAAAAAGGAGTGAATAAATGACGTGGTAAATAATAATGATAATAATAACAATAATAATAATAATAATAATAATAATAATAATAATAATGCAAGTAATTTGATTGTTAATCTGGGCGAAGAGAATATTTTCCATTAGTAGACTGTTCATCATGGTTTTGTGTGTTGGCTGAGATACTACCCGGGTGCCCAAACTGAAGCAGGTGGTTTTCTTAGGGTTGCACACCCGAGCCTTTGATCTAAAGGTCTGACCCACAAGGCAATGGAGCATCGTAAGGAGATGCAGTCCCATGGAAGTCATTTGTTCCTTCAGGATACTGGAGCCCATGTGCGCCATTGATTTGGGATCCGGTTAAAGCGCTAGACATTCGCTTTTCGTCCTCTCAAGTTCGTAAACAACACCCCCTTCACGAGAAGGCAGTGTGTAGGACTTTCTCGGAAGAGGCTATATACGCGTGACCATGTGAGAGTATTTCGAGAGGGAGGGTGAACCCACCCCACTCTCGGCCATACCAGGGCATTTGGGGGCAAGACAATGGTGTACGGTGGCGCAACTTTGTGGATTGGTTGAAAATAGTCATTAATACCGTTTGATGCTGGCTCAGTGGTCTAGTTGGTTAAGCGCCTGGCGCGAGACTGATAGGTCCTGGGTTCGAATCTCGCGAGGAGCGGGATCGTAGATACGCACTGCTAAGGAGTCCCATACTAGGACGAAACGGCCGTCCAGTGCTTCCAGGTTTTCCATGGTCTTCTAGCTTCAATGGATTCATGATTTCAAACAGTGAAATTTCTGAAATCTCCACACAATCCCTTCTGATTACCACTAAGCATTAATTTAATCAAATTCTCTCAACCATACTTGAATTTAACCCTATTCAATTTCAAAAAGGACTTTTTACACACAAATGGATGTAGAAGCTACAGGATACCATGTTTCACCATATATTGATAAGTTATCCTTTTTTTGTATAGAATCGCTTATTTTTTCCAGTGTCACCAAACTACGTAACCAGTTCTAATAAGTAGATGACATATCTATCCTTATTAGAAAGAATTTGTTTCGAAACGTATTCAAACTGACAATTACTTTCTCGCAACACATCAAATTCACCCTCAAGAACAAAAATAAACTTGGTAAACTGCCTCTTGTAGACTATTTAGTCTGAAGGAATTCTAACAGAAATCTAAATTTAACCATCTACCGAGAACCTATCCATTCGACGTTTTGCACAGAGTCCAACTCCACAAATCCATCCAGTCAAGTATGTCTCTGGCTTTAAATTTTTTAGGACCAGCAGAATTATTGCGTCAAAAGAAAAGAAGCAAAGAGAATAGAAAATTGTAACTGGCATCTTAAGATTAAATGACTAGAAATATGCTTAAATGAAATGATCAGTTACTAAATAGCAATTAGTTAAATGAACTATCCTGAACTGATACAGTAGTTCTACCATACCACCACGACATGAGGAAAGATTTAAAACGAATCCTTAAACCCTATGGAATTAAATCGCTATGTAAAACAAGGAAAACCCTCTTTGAATTTGATGCAAAATTATCTAAGATTAGAATGTGTAGATTGTGATCCGTTCTATATTAGAGAGTCATGTCATGAAATCATGACTCGGATCAAAGAACCTCTAAACTACGTAAAGTGACCTGCTAATAATCTTGTCAAACTTTATAACATTCAAATCAAATCAGTAGCACCATCAGTGAGCACTATTTTCAGCAACCATGAAACTGGGTTTATTGACTCAGTGATAGTTCATAAGAGGTTTCACAAATGTATGATGCTAAACCTTACATGGCTCATCAAGAAAAGGGCTATCATCTATTCAACATGGATTATTTATCCAAAAAGCAGTATCTAGTTCTATTCACACCTCTCATTATTAAAACACACAACTCTAACTCTCCTTTCTTGCATTTAAAATTTCATATTTCTTCAAACTCACTGCAACACGAACAAATACTCATAAGTTTGTCTCACACAGATTCACTTTTAATCCAAATAACATCAACATGCTTCGACTTATTTTGATTATATTCAAAATATCTTGCTTTTTTCGTGTATGTTGTTTAAACTTATCCTAGTTCAATCCCGTTTTTATTCTCTGAAGAACTGACTTATACTAAGCCGAGGAACGTCAGAAGTTCAGTTTTACACACACTGGATTACTACGAATTCTACATGATTTTTATTGCACAACACTATGTCCTTATGAATTAATTTCTTATACAAGTAAAAGCAATCTTTCACGCAGCATGTATATTATTGATGACCCGAATAAACTATTAATCCCAGGATGATATTAATTAGTTCCTGTAAGTGAAGCCAATAGGGAAGGATAAATTGTTGTACAGGTGGGGTAAAATTAAATATCGTAATAATGGTGTTTTTAACTTTTGCTAGACTATGATATGTCGATTATACTTTATCCAAGTTTAAACATTTTGTAGCTAAGAGAATAATTTATGAGAAATATGTTGTTATATTAGCCTTATTAAATCATAATATTTTATTATAAAAACCGAAATACTGTTGGTATATCTTACCCTAAGGAACTCTGTTTTAAAATGTTCAACTTGTGATTTCGCATCACTCAACTGAATATGAAGATTTTTGTCGTTAGGTTTGCTTAGAGCTGAGTTCTTGGTTGATTCGTAGTCTGTTTTTTTAAAAAAACATTTGTTTGATAAGTTGTAGTCCTCCTGAACTTTTTCATTTTTGTCTTTTTCCATAAAAGTTTTTATTTCAAAACCACCATGAAGCAATATTGGAGAAGGGTCTTGATGCCTGTTTTCGTAATCAAACATTGGTTTTATCAGAAAAGTTTTGACAGATCACAAGTTTCTCTAAAATCTATCAAGTAAATTGAGAGTCTTATAATGTCTAGGGATTAAGATAAGTAGGAAACATAAACGAGTGTTACTTATTTTAAAACTTCAAAAGGAAATAAAAAAATAGATAATTTATTAAATTGGCATTTTGTTTTAATTTAAAAACAATAAAAGTTATTCAAATAACGAATGAGTACATAATTATATATTTCATACTAATCAAGTCCCATACATAATTACTTCTTAGTGCTGAACTGTTATTTTATGCAATACTAGCATAAAGCAGACATGTTAATCCACTTTACATTAGTGATAGCTTTTTCCGATACCTTACTTTGATTGGTCTTTTTATTCGGATACTCAAACAAATCACATGATTAGACAGTGTAAAATATTTAACATCGTAACTAAATCTCGACGGTTGATTAACTGGGAATCAAGAAGGAAGTTATACTGATGTTACACAGTTTCAGCGTTTCAAAGTATGTTTTTGTTTAAGCGACAATCTTTAACACTTTAATTAATCGTTTTCAAGCTGAAGGACTGGATTGAAATTTCATTGTGACAGTCTAATCATTTTTCAAGCCTGTGATCGTTGGACAGATGCACTTCTCGGTTGCTAAAACTAAGCCTCTTTTTCTTGCAAAAGCGGCTTGTCTTGTCACCGACTGAAAACGACTTTAAAAAATTAATGACAAAAGACAACACTAATGCTGATTAAATTTATTCATAAAAATGATATTCATTTGGGCGATTTATTACGTTCTCAATCCATGAATATACTACAAACCATTTTCTTCATGCAAAATTGTTATTTTTGTATCCATAAATGACTTGTCAGATAACACCCCATGAATTCAGAATATTCCTTTACCTTGTTATAAATAACCATTCATCTTTCGAAACTCTTGTTATCAGATCACATGACGTTTACGAATTTGAAACGGCAAGTAAATCTTCGTGATCATTAGTTTTTAAATCTTCAAAAGTGGTGCTGGCCACATTACTCTACAAAACCGCATCAGACCACCATTTGGTATGCCGTTCTACGCATCCGTGGTGTCATCAAGCGGGCATGTATTACGAACTTTGCGACATACCGACTACCTTCCGAATATATCTTCGAACTTTTTCATTTTTTGGAATCAGGTTTCATTTGATTTAGAATCATTAGATTATAAACGTTTTACTGATGAAAGCGTTGTCAAGACTCAATATACGTAACATATTTTTATTGAGTGATATATCTCTAAATCACCCGTGTAAGGCTTATGAAACGCTTCTTCAGATCGGAACATCTTTTACTTTCGGACATATTTCTTAATTTTAGCTCTCTTTGGATAAAGAATTCAGATTATTTATCAACCGGTGAATGATCGTAATCCCAGGTAGCAGTTTTGCAAATTAAATGACCTATATTCACGAAAAATGTCCATGAGATTGTTAAATTTAGCACAGATTTCACGAGATTACAAAGACAATATCTATTTTAATGTAACCATTACTGTGCCCTTAGAAACACATTTACCTTTTGAAAGCGCAAAATCATTTAGATGATTTAAACAACTTCAGGAATAATGATTAGCAGGATAAATAATCTGTGTTCAGTTTAAGCAAGACGGGGAATTAGAATCTCTTTTTTAGTTCTGTAACTAGGTATCGCCTAGATGATCTGACTTTCTGACGTATATACAAAGTATAAAAACGCCACAGATATAAGTAGTACAGCGTACCCACTCGTGATCTAGTGCAGATCTGTGACCAGGCCCCTTCAGTCAGGGTTTTTTCAGTAGAACTAAGGGAGTCAGCATCGATATCGCAGACATACAGGACTTTCACCGGTTGAAACCATGAATCCATTGAAGCGAGACCACCATGGAAAACCTGGAAGCATGTTTCTCACAGAGAATGCAAGACTAGATTTTCTGGGTCCAGACCTAATACAAACACTACATTTAGCAAATCATTCTATAAACCACATATGCAGCGCCGTGAGGACCAATAAACCAGCGGAAAATAATCTGATGGATGTCGTGGTGGAAAGACATAGTCACGTGCTTATAGAAGAATTGGGGGAATGCAAAAAGTTAAAAACACTACTATATCTTAAACCGGGAGTCACTCCCTTCTTTAGACCAATACCTTACGAGGCGCTACTTATTGTTGGACAAGAATTAGAGCGCCTACAAATGATTGTAATCATAGAACCAGTAAATTGTTCTATTTGGGAAGCTCTGTAGTGGCATTGGATCATAACCACAAAACCCTCAAAGCTGAACACGAGACTACTCGGAAAATAGACATTCAATATTTAACGCGGGGAAATACCTAACAGTGGAGAAGGCGGGGTTAATAATTTTGAATAAGTTGGAGTTGATCGTATGGCATGGCTCGGTCATGCAGGCGTGGTCCCTTCTTAATGTTACGTTACATCTTTTATTCATATTAAATATATTGTTCCATCTCTAGCCTAAGTTTGTTCTATATCATGTATTGGTAATTGTTACGATACAGTGAGTTGGTGTAGATGATGATGTGATTTCCACGTAAGATCTCATAGATTAGGCAGTCACATCATAACGAATCTACAATTTAAGGATTAGGCTTGTTATTAGAGCAGTACTAATATCATAGTAGACCATAATTCTACAGCACCAATAATGATCGTTAAAAGGCCAAATGGAAGTATCCGGCTATACGTAGATTATTCGACTGGCATAAACAAAACACTTGAAGCACATCAGTGCCCTATGCCCTTACTAAAAGACTTATTTGCGAAAATTAATGAAGTATTTTGCAAAACTAGACCTATCAGGAGCTTATCTACAAGTTCCAGTAGTGGAGTAGTGTAAGCATTACTTGAAAACAAACACTCATAAAGGGTTGTTCCAATATAACAGACTTTCTTTCAGAGTAAATACCGCCTTTTGAATCATCCAACAACTTATGGATAATGTGCTACAAGATATTCTCGGTACCACGACCTATCTCGATGACATACTGATCATGAGTACAGACTATGCTAACTTAAGGAACAAGGTGGATACAGTTTTCAGACGCATCGCAGACTATGGGTTCAAATTACGTGCTAAAAAATGTGACTTCTACACAAATCATGTACGTTATTTGGGAATCATGATCGATAAAAAAGGAAGGAAACCTGATCCTGAAAAAGTTAAGACTATCAAGTCGACTTTAGGTTCCTTCTTTGTAACAGTTAGTCATTATGGCCTTCGTCTTCCAGATCTGCACCGCTTCCGTGCTCCTCTTAATGGGTTACTGAAAAAGGATACCATATGGTTCTGGTCAAGCGAATGTCAAGACAGCATTCCTAAAAATAAAACAGCTCCCACCATCGAACCTTCATCTTACCCACTACGATCCAGATCTCCCAGTTATAGTCGCAGCGGATGCGTCAAGCTACGGAATGGGAGCAGTGATTTCACATACCTACCCTGACGGGTCTGAGAAGGCAATCACCCACGCGGCATGATTGCTGACTATGACCAAACTGGACTGCAGTCAAATAGAGAAAGAAGTCCTCTCCATTATATCCACTGCAAAAAAGTTCCACAAGATGCTTTTTGGTGGACAGTTCACCCAACTAACACATCATAAACATCTACTGATAATTTTTACATCAAAAATGGTATCCCTGTATATACAGCAAATCGTCTGCAGCTATGTGCAACTCTTACAATATTTAAACCGACGAGATTCCTCGACAGTTGTCGATTCGTGCCGACCATCTCTTAATCAAGTTGATAAAGCTGACGTCCTCATAAACATATATTCCAGATCCAATCAGTTTGTATTAGTTCCACAGTATCAGGTTTCTCTCTTCAGCCGAAGCAAATGTACCTTCAGAAACCACTTTTTGTCACGTTTCATCCCATCATCGATAGGGTAATAGCATGTAGGTCTGCCACAACGAGATTTTACTTGCTCCAAACAAACAGAGAAAACTTATCTCTAGATGAAGTATCTTTTGTAGAATTCAAACAAAGTTTTGACTGAAAAATAACTGTCTAGGTAGGTTAGGTACGCGCTATTGCTTTGTTGAGACTAAAACAAGGTGATTGGGTAAATGATGGTTCTGTATTTCATTATAAATATAAGTGTACATTATCATTTAAACAAATATTACGCAGTTATTCAGTCAGTACTTAAATACACATTACATTATATAAACACAGTGATGAAGGATGTCAGAAAATTACCGAGCGCAACAAATAAATGTTATTCTATCCTTGCTGGATGGATCACGTGCAGATCCGTTCAAACTATAGTATTTGGTCGCTTTATAACACAGTGTTTCCAATTCTGGAAGAGTGCTTCCATCCACAATCAAAATGCACAATTCCAGTCAATGCCAGCTCCACAATCAAGTGGGGAACAAATCAATATGGCTGCCGTCAATACTATGTACAAACTAAAATAACATAAATTCCGTCCAGGAAGAAACATGGAAGTTCAGTGTAGGTGTGTGGAAGATAAAAACTGTAAAGAATACAAATATAACCACCTCAAACGGAATAAAAAGATTAACAAAATGTACGACTGAATGAATCAAAAGGAGTAAATTACAAGTGTATACATGGAGGGATTTTCCCGCAGAATACCTTCAAAATGGGTCTTACATGTTTTAAGGCTTGTTAAGTGATAGACACTGAACACAAACAAAAACAGAGGTTTGTATATTCCCGTACCTAACATCGATTAAAACCCGACTTCAGTAGTTAAAAAAAGACATTACCACCTTTGGATACAAACAATACCAAAAGATTTACTTGACGAGAGAAAATCCAGTGACCTTTTTTGTATCTGTACTCAAACATTACAGATGACAAACTTCTATAAAAGAAGCAATACTCTTGAAGATTACTGGGACAAATAACACTGTCCTTTTATATAGCACCGCTGTTATTTTATGTACCATTTATAATAAATTGCATTTTTTGCTAAGAATGTTAACC